GGGGGCCTGTCTGTAGTTTCAACTCCCTGTATTGGCAGCACCAAACTAAAGATTTTTCCTTGACAATTATTAGCACAGCAAGTTTCTTCTGTGATTTACCTGGCTCTCAGAAATATGACCACGGGTTCATTTCTTGGGTATCCTCAGGTTTCAGACTGCCCAGCTAAGTGCATCCATCTGAATGAATGTATTTTAGGTACATCCAGTACAGGGAGAACCTGTATAAGTGATTTGTTTCCATCATTTTGAGGATATCTTAGTTTCTGCTTGTGCAGTTTAGTACAGCATTTTACCAAGATGTTTATAAAACAGGAAGCTTGTAAATTTCATTTTACTTTGGTTATAGATCTGGTTGAAAAATTCTGAGTGGAAGCTTTTTTATCGCAGGAAAAGAACATTTTATTGAATGTAAATATTTCTCAAAACATTAAAAAAAATTGGAGGTTTTTGACAAAAATAAAAATAATTTCTGTTTTTTGAATCTCCGGTAATTTTTTCTTTTCCTCCCCTCCCCTCCCCTCCCCCCCCACTTCTCTTTTCCCTCTGTCACCTTTCTCTATGATTAAATAGAAACAAGAAGAGGATAGATGAAAAACAAGGAACATTTTAAAGGAAAATATTCAGTGCAAATTTGATTTTTTTCTAAGTAGGTCCTTAAATCAGACTTTAAGAACTAAAATATTTTTTTAAAATTCTCAAAATATTACACTTTAAAGCATTACAAATGCAGCGTTTTTAAAATCAGCTTTAGACTGGCTTATAATTGTCCTCTGTGTAGACCAGTCTATGGGGATAAATGAGGAACATTAATATATGTGTATGTTTGGAATTGAAAACAAATATTAAAAAAAATGTTCTGGTTTGTTACTGGAGGTCAGAACCAGTGAACATAATAGGCCTGATCCTGCAAATTGCCACGTGTTCTCAGCATATTTTGACCTAGAAGGGAGTTTGGTATATGCATCAGAATAACAGTCCTTTTGTAGCATATAGAGGCCCCCTCTACACATTACACTAAAGGCACAATTAACTAGTTAATCACACCTTAAATTGTGATTCAGTTACATGTTCCACCAATTAATGCCATGATAAAATAAGCTATAAGATACAAAGTTTATCCACAAAACATGTGAAATAACTTTGTAGCTTGTTCTGATCACTCCATTAATTGACCATGCAGCCAAGTCTTCCTCTGGGCCTGGGAGCACCATCAACTGAGGCACTTCTAGCCACAGGGGTGCAACACCCACTGCCAGACCTGCAGGTAATAAGATTCATAGCGGTGGCAGTCCTCTTGCCGCTGCTCCTGCTGTGAGTCTAGTCAGCTGTGGGGCTTGCAGCGAGGAGAATCCTGCCCCCTTTGTGAACCTTGTAAGGTGCAGGGCTCTCAGCATGGGGAGGTGCTGGGAATACTGCTGCTGCCGTGAATCTAGGCTCTTCCTGCTACCCCTGCTGCAAGCCCCGCAGCTGGCAGGGGTCTCAGTGGTAGCTGCGTTCCCAGTACTTCCCCTGCTGTGAGTATCACAGATAATGTTGCCTGTGGGGCTCACAGAAAGGGCAGCATGGGGAACATTGCCTCTGCTGCCACCTCATCAGCTGCAGGGTTTGCAGCCATGGGAGCTGGTGCAAGGGGAGCCCAATATCATTCTCCCACACTCTGCCTGCACCTACGATAAGCTGGTATGTAATGTCATGTGATCCCACAATAATGCCTCCTTCCATACACACGTGGCATGGCAGGAGGCGCAGTTGTGTGGATCATGCATCCAGATCCCACCACACGTGTAGAGGGGACCAGAGTGTCATTGCAGTTAGGGCTGAAGGTGTAGAAGCAGAAAGCTCCGTGGCACTGGGAATGGCAATAATAGAGGCCTAGTTGTTGGTTCTTCATGCTCAATAGCAAGAGTTATTCTTAAAAGGTCTTTCTGGGAAAACAGAAAAGGCACGGCTGTTAGGTCACAAAGCCACAGGAAGAGTTACAAAGCCACAAGTGACAGGAAAAAGGGAAAATGAGTTATTTCAAAATACTTAATTCATCCAACTAGTATCAAGTTTGAATACAGTTTATTCTTTATTAGGGTGTGGTCTAACAAGCACTTAGAGTGACTAGCAAATAAATTCATGTAGACTTCTAGTCCTTCAAGTTTTGCATTTATGCAGGCTGTATGCTGCTGTCCACCCCTTTCGCCAAATGTTGTCTGGATATTTTCATGCTGTGTAGGGTTCTAATATAGTTAATCATATAGAAATTAAATATTTCCTTCCACAGAAAAGACTAAAGATGTTGCTACTTAAATATATTCAATGAATATTCTTTCATCTTATCTGCTTCTCTACCCAGAATGTATTCATTCATGTATATCTGAGGGCTGCCTCTTCGTTGTAGAGAGGCTGCCTTTAATTTAGTAGTCTGGGAAAATGTTTGATTTAATTTAATTTAGAGAATGGTTTTTGGTAACTTATGCCATATTTTTTCACTAGTTCATCATTTGTGCTAGCAGCTATCTCTTTATATATACCATCCCTTCTGTTCTTTTCTCTTTTCTGCCTTTCCAGCAGTTTGAGTTTGGGGGATTTTGTTGAGTGCACTTGGAAAGAAAACACAATATACTTGCCTCAGCTGGGATGTGGTTGCAGAGCGTGTAAGACATCTTGCTATGGTTCTAAAGATGTGCTCTAGCGACTCCTGCTAAAGGCTATGCCTTTTCAACTCAGCTCTAAATGGGAACCTGACCTTCAGATTGGGAAATCAAAGGTGTAATGTTAGCTGCTTCCCTCCTTGTATCCTGTTGGCTGTAGAGATCGGTGTACCTTGACCACTAGCTGTGTAGCTTGAACTTGCCTTGGGTACCAGAACTGTACACACAGTGCAGTCTTTCAGGCAAGGTAGTGATCTGTTCAAACCAACTTTGTTTGTCTACCAGGGACCTTGTTCTGAAATCCTCCTCAAGGAAAATGTTAATTTTTCTTGAGGAAGGAATACAAGATCAGAACAAAAACACTGGAAAGGCATTAAGGCACCAAGCCATTTTGCTTTCAAGTCCTGTTTTAAAAATCAGGGTATTCTCTCTGTACTTTATGAAATATATTCGAAGAAGAATGCCCTCCTTTATGAAGCAAATTACATTGTATTGCCGGCTTTTAATTTTTATCCTGGCCAGAAACTGCACTAGAGTGTATGTAAGTATATATCCATGCTGACTCCTATGCACCGAATAAGTAATCCGAATGGATTCATTGAGAGTGCCCATGCGTTTGAAGTTAAGCATATGCATGTTCACAGGATCAGGGCATAACATGCTATTTTTGTTTTGCTAGGCTCGGGAAACCACGTGGCATCTGTCAGAAGAAACAACTTTTGAGCTGTCAGCCTGTAGATCATCCAAAGAGGTCTTTGCTGCAGAAAACGCTGGTGCTTCAGCTAAGTTATTTGACCCAACAGTCTTTCCTGCCCAGAGCAGGATGGTCTCACGAGGTCCCTTCCAGCCCTAAACTTCTGGGAATCAGTGGAAGTGGAAAGCAGCCCATCAGCATTGGGCAGTGCTGGGCAGAGGTCTGAAGGTTTGGTCTCAGGCGAAGGCCGCGTGCGGCAAAAGACTCAGGGGCCTGAAGCAGAGGGTGTGCAAGAGCTGGGGCTGCATTCCCCCCAGGTGACCCACACCCCCTCCAGGAGACCTCTTGCAAACTCTGCACCCTAGCCTGCAGCTTTGCAGGGTCCAGCCCAGCAGGTGCTGCCTACAGCATCAACAATAGCTGCAGCGCGGGTCCTGCCACACAAAAGCGGGGCAGGGAAAGGGAGCAGGGGGGCGTTGCTCAGCTGTCTCCAGACCACTATTCAAATGCAAGGGGCCTGCTGGTGGTCCAAGGGGGGGATGGGGAGGCGGGAGCAGGTGCAGACAAGGGTGTGTGTGGGAGGGGGGTAGGGGATCCCTGCTGTACCTTCTTCCCCCTCCGAGCGGGAGGGGTGCGTGTGTGCGGGGGGCTGAGCTGGAGCCACTTGCAGCAGCAGCAGCAGCAGCCGCCCAGGGAGCCTTGATTGACGTAAAGCTGCCAGCAGCAGCGCATCGAGAGCCAGCCAGAGCAACAGCGAGGAGTCAAGCCGCCGCACACAAAGGCAGCCGCTGCCGCCAGCTCCAGCCCTGCGCCTGCCCCCTCCCCTCCCCCCTCGGGCGCCGGGCAGGGCTCGCCTCAGCCTCCGGCCCCTGCACCTGCCTCAGCGCGGGGCCGCGGGACCCCCGGGCACGTCCTCGCCGCCGCCGGGGGCTGCCGCATTGCTTAGCGGCTTTCTCTCTCGCTCGCTCGCTTGCTGCTGGTAGGAGCCTGGCCGGGTGTCTTCCTTCAGCCCCCGCTGCCTGGGCAGGGCTTCTCGGATTGAGCCCGGGGGAAGGGCAGGGTGGAGGTAGGGGTAGGTGGTGGGGGAAGGCGGCAAGGGGGTCGGTGCGGGGAGAGCCTCCCCAGCCCCAAATCCGGACGAGCGCAGCCCGTCCCTAGGAGGGGGAGAAGGCAAACAGCCGCCCCAGCCAGAGGCAGGCTTGTTTTGTGGAGCCCTCGTCTTGAAATCAAGGAGCGGAGACAACAACAAGCTAGGTTATTTTCTTTTTGCTGCCTCTCCCCCCGCTCTTCTCCCTCCCTTTTTTTTTCTTTTTCAATGCCCCTGAGCCGAGGCAGACCCTGGGAAAGAGAAGCCCCTCCTGGAAACTCTCCGATTGAGGAGCCACTTTATCATCGCCCTTAGCTGGGGCTCCTCTTCCCACAGGGATCGCAGCGCCCGCGTGAGATCACTCCTAGCGCCCAGGGGCGGGGGCGGGGTAGAAAGCTCCTGCCAGCCCCCCCACCCCACCCGGTGTTGGTCCTGCTGCCCACTCTCCCTCCTTCAGATCATGTAGCAGTTGCACACCCACTACAAAGCCGGCTTTTTATTACACAGATAAAGTGCCTACTTAACTGTGGGTGGATGGGTGGGGGGGGGGGCAAGCGGTATCCTCTGGGGGAGAGGGAAAGCTTCCCTGCAAACTGGCTGCCGAGGAGCTACTTGATTCCTTATTATTGCTCCTGATCCCCAGGCTCCCTCCCGCCCCGCGCTACCCCAGGGATTTGTGGTGGAGGGGCTATTTGGGGCAGCATGGATGTGGCAGCGCTATGAGAATCCTCCTGGACTTCTCTGTCCTAGGGGGCTGCAGCAGCTGGCTGTGGGTGGAGGAGAGGTGAGGCCCCTCCCTAAGGAAATTGGTGGGGGTAGGGGTGTGCTTCCAAGCAGGGGGTGCTGTAGTAGGGGGCAGCCTGTGAGGGGCAGGAGGCTGCGTGGTTCAGGGTGAGGGCAGGAGGTTGCTGGACAGTGGGATTTCCTGGAAGGGGCTCCATCCCCTGAACAGGAGGCTTCCTGGGGCAGCCTCAAAGGCAGAGGAGAACAGGCAGCAGCCGGCTGCCCACAGCAGCAGCAGCGGAGGAGGAGGAGGAGGAGGAGGGAGCAGCACCATGACTCATTTGCAGGCAGGTCTGTCCCCAGAGACGCTGGAGAAAGCCCGGCTGGAACTGAATGAGAACCCAGACACACTGCACCAGGACATCCAGGAGGTGCGGGACATGGTGATCACGAGGCCGGACATTGGCTTCCTCCGCACAGACGATGCCTTCATCCTGCGGTTCCTGCGGGCCAGGAAGTTCCAGCACTTTGAGGCGTTCCGCCTGCTGGCCCAGTACTTTGAGTACCGCCAGCAGAACCTGGACATGTTCAAGAGCTTCAAGGCCACCGACCCAGGCATCAAGCAGGCGCTCAAGGATGGCTTCCCTGGTGGGCTTGCCAATCTCGACCACTATGGCAGGAAGATCCTGGTCCTTTTTGCTGCCAACTGGGACCAGAGCAGGTACGTGCTCCTCACACCTGCTCCATTTCATGGGGCTGAGACCGACTGCCAAAATGCATTGGACTGTGCTGATTGCCCAGGCTCTGGAGGTGTGGGTTAGGCAAGGGGCACACACGTTGGGCTCCATGCAGCAGGGCTGGGCTGTGCCATGGGTGGGGGAGAAGGAATTAGAGGCATATTTTGGCTGAGACCCACCTCCATCTGGAGGGGAAGAAGGCCCATCCAGGCCTCCTGATGGCTTGGGAAGAGAGCATGCTCCTTGGCCTCTTCTGCTTCTTCCACAGTTGAAAAGATGATGTAGATGAAGGAGGCAATCTTTTGCTTAGTTCCTCCTTTAACTGTTTATTGTATGGTGTCTTGTTTCTTTAGTGTCTAAGAACAGTGAGAGTAAAGGGCCAAGCAGTGAGAGCTTGACTAGGAGGAATATCCCAAATGTGCTTTCTATTCGCCGCTCTCTCTCAGCCCTAGAGAGAGAGAGAGAGAGAAGTTTGGGTACGGGGGCCTCTGAGGACTTTTCCTCAGCTACAGAAGGAGAGCTTTGTTTCTGAGCCTTCTAATGATGCAAGTGTGGGAATGATATTAATCACCTCCTTTCTTCACTCTTCCTACCGCAGACCACAGTGTCCTGGGTAAAATTAGCAGCATGATGGGAGGGGGTGGCTTGTGCAGCAAGGTTTGAAAATGGATTAAGGCTACACAGTCCCTAAAGCTGTTTCTGGCACTTTCTTGGTGCTGCTTTGGCCAGAAGATGACTTATCTGCAGAGATCCTGGTTTTCCTTGATTTAAAAAAAATTGCAAATTCTCTTATAAACCCCCCCAAATCTGTGATTAAAATTAAAGGTCTCCCACAGCCCAACCTCAAGTCCTGCTGGTGCTCCTCACTCTCTCTACAACCCCGCCCTGCTCTTGCCCTTCGCTCCCAACACAACAGCCCTCCAATACAACTGGTGCCCCTCACTCCCCACCACAGACCTCCAACCCTGCCAGAGGGGGGCCAGCTGCCAGGGCTATGAGGCCAGGGACCCAGGTCCTCAGCTCCCTGCCCCCAACAGAAGGCAGCAGCTGCTACAGCAGAAGGAACATGGAGCTGGCTCCCCCCTGCTGCCTCCTTGGGGCAGGGCTGGCTCCCAGCCTCAGCATGCACTCCCAGGGGGCAGAGGGCGGTAGCAGAAAAGCTGCTTGCCCTGGCCACACTTCCCCTGCAGGTGGGGGCAGCAGTGAGGGGCACAACGCTGCACTGCTGCCCACGCTGCCCCTGTGCACACAGGGGATGTGTGGCTAGCACAGTGTGGAGCTTGCAGGGGCAAGCACCTTTCTTGCATGTCCCTGCTGTCCCGGGTCGCGCATACTGCACTGTGGAGGCCCCGAGGGAGGGCAGCAGGGCTGGGAGCATGAGCCTGCAGCGTGCACCTACCCTGCCCTTGTTTCCCACACAGATCTGGGGGGCATGGGTCCCCCCTGCTCTCCCAGAGTGCATGCTGCAGCAGGAAGCCAGCTCCACCCTCTGCCCCTGGACCAGCCTGGCCTGCGGTGTGTGGACTGGGAGTTGCACAATATTGGCTGAGGGGGCTCCACGCCTCCTTGTGCAGCTGCCTGCACTCCCGCACATGGAAGTGCGAAGCCCGCCTGGTCCGGCCTGGCCTGGCCCAGCCTGCCCCATGGTGCATAGATTGGGAGCTGCATGCTGTCAGCCTCAGTGGGCTCCATGCTTCCCTATGTAGCTTCTCTGAAGGGCCAACAGCGTATCATTCCCAGTCTACGTGCTGCTGGCAGGTACTCCATGTGAGGCTTCCCTCAGCACCTCCCCACTCCCTCAGCTCCCACCCACACATCTATGCCCTGGCCCTCTCCAGCCCTGCTGGTGCCCCCCAGGCATGACCTACAACCCTCCAGCCCTGCCAGAGGGGGCCCCCAGTGCCCTGCAAGTCCCACTTACCTCACAGGCTCCAGCCTGAGCCAAGCCTTGAGTGATGGAGAGCCTCAGGCCCTGCCCTTTCTCCTTCTGGACAGGGTTGGGGGTTTCCTGCTCTTTTTGCAATTGGCTTTTGCAGGCTGGAACTCAGCCAGCCTGCAGAGCTCTTTGCAAAAGTGGGAAATCTGCAGGTATCTCTGTGAAAGAGAAAAGCAGTTTTGTATGATAAAGTCTGGAAATCCATGGTTTTCTCTGTTTTTCCATGGAGAAACAAAAAACCCAGATCCCTGTAGTATCTGGCGGACAAAACAGTAATCAAGGTTTGGCACTTTGGCAATAGGCAAGGTATTCTGTGACAACGTATGATGTAAGAAAATGCATTGCAGGGAGTGGATGATTTCTAATAACTGGGGGTCAACAGCTTTAAAATTACAGCAGCTTAAGTATTGTTTAGCTTTTAATACCGAAATATTCATGGAACCATTAGATGTGAGCTATCTATGGTGCACTCCAGCAAGTGTTACCTATGTGAGTAGCCAGCAAGGCCATTGGAATGAGTAAGCATTATTGATATGGGTAAGGGTTGCGGAGCTTGGGGTCTGGCTTCCTGGCTGGGGGGAGGTGGTGGGGGTAAGGAGGCACATCTATAACTTCATTATAGATCTTCACCCAGCAAAGACATATTCTAAAAGAAAGAGCAAAATAAGAGGGGTAATGCAAGGACACAGAAACTTAGACATCTTATTAAAATTGTACATCTGCTATGAAGAAATTCCCCCATGAATCTAGACTGGCCTATCTCAAGTATGATGCATTTCCTTCTCAGCAATAAAACTTATGTTCCAGTGGAGTAATGCAGAAATAACCAGACTGCTAGTTCGTAGTAAAGAAAGTAGCAGCTTTGAATTCAGACAGAAAATGGCAATTAAAAAAAAAAATTATGTGAAGAAAGTGGATTTATTTACCTCTCAGTTATGAGACATGCTTAAATTACATGATGTCAGCTCCCATAGTATTACAAGACAAATCATAATTATTATTTTGTTGAATTTCCATTGAATTAATGATTTATTATTTAGGTTACAACTGTAATATGACTAATGGACCTCCTGGTAACTAACCACCTCAGCTGCACTTGGGTTTCCATTGTACTCAACTAGCTATAGGATGAGGGTCTGGACAAGCAGC